GGAGCAGGAGGAGGAGGAAGAGGAGAGAGGAGGGAGGAGGAGGAGGAGGAGGAGGAGAAGGAGGAGGAGGAGGAGGACGAGGAGGAGGAGGAGGAGGAGGAGGAGGAGGAGGAGGAGAAGGTGGAGGTGGAGGTGGAGGGGAAGGAGGAGGGGGATGATGAGGAGGAGGAGGAGTAAGAGGAGGATGAGGAGACTGCTTTGGGCCCCGGAGGGGCTCGGTGTGCTCGGGCCGCTTTCGAGAGCTCCGTCGTGGAGCCCGCTGTTGACGCCTGTGCCCGCCATGGCCAGCAAAGCCTTCAAGGGGCCCAGGGGCATACACATAGATACACACTGAAGTCAGGCTTCCTAAATTTTGTATATGTTCTGTGTTTTTGTCTTCCCCCCACTTCCCCATAGTCTACCATAGTTTCCTGGGGAGCGACGATTACAATTGTTGCTGTGTGTGTGTGTGTTTGTTCCCCCTCCTGATGCCCCTTCGTCCCTTACAGTGGAGACCCATGCGAAGAAACACCCTGCTTGCGTGCCCTGGGTTTCTTGGGTTTCGATGGTTTTGCTGTGGAGAGCGCGACGCTCCCACACCTGAAATCGGTGGGCCCCCTGGGGTCTCGGGGTTGGGTTTCTTGTGGAGGGTTTCTTGTGGACTGGCCTCCGCTGTATCTTGCGCTCCCTATGTTATGGTAGCACGACGGCTGTACCTTGTTCGGATGTCCGGGCGGATCTCTTGGATCGGCGCTGGACCACCGCCTTTGGCGGGCGAGGGCGGCGCCGGAGGCGCCGTGAGGGGGAGCTCCAGCGCCGATCCAAGAATTCCGCGCCGACCTCCGACTGATTGTGTCAGTGCTGCTCCTTCTCATGTTCTACTTCGGCGGCGAGCGAGGGGGGAGTGAGAAGGAGAAGGCCTTCTCTCAGAAGGGGGCGGGACTTCTCAGGAGTTCTCGCGCCTTCTGGGAGGCTTTCTGCGTTTTCGGGCGAGGCTGAGGGAACTTCTGAGAAGGCCGGGGGACTTCGAGCCATCTGAGAAGTACCAGCTTGAAACAGATCCCTACCCCTGTGTTCGGCACCACCTCACCTCGATGCTGATCTTGAGGATTCCCTCGGCTTCTGAGGGCACGTCCCTAAGATTGTCCTCGCTTTACGCTCGCCCATCTCAGGGATAGGGATAGGGAGGAGTCCGAGGCTGGCTCGAGAGGGCTCGCTTCTTCTCGCCTCCCCCCGAGGGGCTCGCCGCCGACGGCAGAGGGGAGGGGGTCCCGAGGGTCTGTTTCGCTGCGTGCGGGCCTCTGCAGCCCTCTACTGTAGGTTCGTGTCGTGTCGACCGGCGGCGACCCTGCCGCCGACGTTCAACGTTGAACGCCGACGGCGGCCCAGAATCGGTCGATGTTGAACGATTGGACGTTGCGGAGACGGCCGATCGTTCAAGGTTGAACGATCCAGCGCGGTGTCAGGAACCAACGCCAGGGTCGACACAGCACGAACCTGCAGTACCGGGGCACCGGGACTTTCGAAGGATGCGGGATGAGGAGGGGGGGGGGAAGAGGGGGGGTGATGACTAGGGGGGGGGGGTGGACATCATGGCGGGGGCCATGATATTTCCCCAGATCTCATGGCGCCTCTTCTTATTTCATTGCGTCCCTGGCCCCCCCGCTGGGCCGCGCACGTGCCGCCGGACGTGATTTGCAACCCCCCCTCTTGGACACCCCCCTCTCGGCCGCTCCCGGATGAGGAGCTGGCGGGAGGGCCTCGGGCTCGGGGGCCCGTTTCCTTCTGGACCTGCGTTCTTTCATGCCAGACGTGCACGTGCTGCTGACTCTGCCTCTGGTCGCCAATGGGGGGGTTCAAAAAGCGCAGTCGAGGCGCTGAACTATGCACCACCTTGAGGGCTCCGCATGGGGTTCTGGTTGTCGGGCCTTTCCTGGGTTGGGGAATCTGTTCGTGGCCGAGGCTCGCTGTTACCAGAAGAGCCTCCTGGCTCTTTACTCAGCGTTTCCTGTGGTGGATGACTGCCCCATTCTGGTGTTAGGTCGGGCATGTCCTCGTATTGTGGACGACAAGCGAACAATTGGCAACACATCTTCTAAAGTATAAAAAATAGAAACATCGTCCTCAGACTAGTATTAACTATTCTTGGGTACTCCTCTTGTGGAGGAACATGCCCGACTTAATTATGCTGGTGCACTTGTGTATGTCAGCGGGAGATTTTTGAGGTGTGGACAGAAGGCTGGCTTCCAGAAGAGCTGGGCTTCTGTGCGTAACCCCCACTCTGGCCCCTCGGGGCGCTCGCAGGAGGAGTACATAATGATGCCCAGGCGGGGGCTTGATCCATAATCTTAGAGGAGGAGCAACGAATGTCTCTTACTCCTCCTCCTCCTCCTACTCCTCCTCCTCCCCTCCTCCTCCTCCTTCTCCTCCTCGTCCTCCTCTTCCTCCTTCTCCTCCCCCTCCTCCTCCTCCTCCTCCTCCTCCTCCTCCTCCTCCTCCTCGTCCTCCTCTTCCTTCTTCTCCTCCTCCTCCTCCTCCTCCACCTCCTCCTCCTTCTCCTCCTCCTCCCCCCAGTTGCGGATCAGAGTGAGGGGGCGGCGGTGACGTCGGCATGCTGCGATGGTCTGAAGAAGTCTGCCGCCGGCGCCTAATGTCGATAATTTGCACAGGGGGCTCGCCGCAGGCGCCGATTCTGTCGTCAAAACCATGTGGGTGCGTCGCGGGGTGGGTCGCGGGTGGGTCGCGGCCCGGGTCGCGGGGAGGAACAAATACCGATGCCGCTGCCTACTCCCGGTCGCCACGCCCAGGCTGGCCTCGAAATCCTGGCCAGCACGCACTCCGGAGAGGTCTGGAGAGCACCGGTAGCGGCACCTGCTCGTGTGCCGACCCCTCGCTGCTCTCGTCGTCCGTCCTCGCTTGCTTTCGTCTCGCCGATGCTTCTGGGCATTCTGTTTTCCCTCCGTTCCCTGTTAAAGGCACCCGGACCCGATGATTGGCGTTTCCTAAATGGCCCTGCCCTGGTCGTTTACTGAACAGCCCTGCCTTGTTTGATTCCTTCTTTGGGTGCGTTTACTGAACGGCTTCGCGTGTCGGGGTGATTATTTTGGGGGGGATTGTCTGCCCTCTATCCCCCCCTGGTGCCGGCACGCCTTTGGCGTGTCTTGTGTTTCCCTCGGTGCGCATTTGGCGCGTCTGCCTGCATGCATTCTTACGCGCACTTGGCGTGCTTGCCCACGCGTCCCAGTGCAAAAGTCAAAGCAGTTCTGCGTGCTCATGCGCCGTGTAGGCGCCTGGCTTGTGCCTCGACCTCTGCTTTCCAGCATATAGTGTAGTAGCCTTAACTTAAGTCGGGCATGTCCCTCAACAGGAGGAATATTCAAAAGTTGTCAACACATAGTCGGGGGACTTGTTCGACTATTTCCCTACCTGGGCTCTGCCTAGAAGGGTTCTTACTCTCTGGGCTTCAAGGGGCCGGGCAGTGGAAAGCGCCCCGGGCGGTTCCCCCAGTATCCGCCCCGCGGTTCCCCCAGTTATGTCCCTTAGCTCAGCGTTGCTTATCTCATCTTAGCTTAGCTTATTTCATCTTAGTTCAGCTTGGCTTCATCTTAGTTCAGGTTTATCTTAGCCTAGCTTACCTTCATTTTAGATTCGCTGAGCTTTAGCATAACACAGCGCAGCATGACATAGCATAGCTTAGCATAGCATAGCACAGTACAGCATAGCAAAGCATAGCATAACATAGCATAGCATAGCATAGCGCATCATAGCATGACATAACATAGCATAGCATATCATAGCAACTACTGCTGCTTTCCTAGGGGCTCCAACTTCTAGGTAGGGTCGCGCTGGAGTAATTTGGGCCATTTTGGCATATGTTTGGCGTGCTTGTGATTTTTCGTATAAAAAAATCTGCCAGCAGAGGGACGTGCCCGACCTAAGACGAGCAGCCTGCCTGCACAGGCGTGGGGACCCTCCCCGGGGCGGCCGACGCGGAGCAATTCTCGGGGGCCCTGGGGCGGCCGAGCAGGTCATCTCCGCCTGCACCGCCGTGCGCGCTCCGAGGGCCCACGCCCTGGAGTTAAGGCGGGCCTGTCCCCCTACAGGGGGACTGTCGACGAAAAACAAAAAATACCCAACAACAAATCCAAAAATGGTCAAACAATAGTCGAGGGACTCTTTTTTGAATGTTTTTTAATCTTTTTGGAGCATTTTGGGGGTACTTTTTGTTTTTCGTCGAAAATCCCCATGCAGGGGGACAGGCCCGACTTAATCCTTGAGGCAGGAACTGGAGTGTCCTCAGGTCCTTGGCCTATAGGCCCTGAAGCCCGGGTTTGCAATCCTGGAACTTCTTTTGAGGCGCCTGGAGTGACAAAGCGCACGCCTTGTGGGGCTTGTCGCGTGGCCCCTGTGGCGCGTCCCACATCTGCTCGCACGACTCTTTGAGCCCCAAGACAAGGCTATACACAGTGGGGGGCCCACGCCAAGAGACCCCCTGCTCGCCTCCAGGGTGCCCTCGGGTGCTCGGGCTTCGATGGCGTTGCTATGGAGAGCGCGACGCTCCCCGCGTCAAACATCAGTGGGCGCCCTGGGGGGTCTCCGGGCCGGGCTTCCTGTGGACGGCCTCCTGTGGTCGGGCGCCCACTGCGTAGACGTCCGGCGCTCCACTCGCGCCCGAGGCGTGGACCCCCTTCTGTGTTCGTCCCGGGTCGTCCTTTGACGGGGCCACAGGACATTCGGGGGCGGAAAAGATGGGGGGGGATGTCGGGGGGGGGTGGATATCATGGCGCGGACCATGATTTTTCCCCAGATTTCATGACGCCCCTGCTTATTTCATTACGTCCCTGGCCCCCCCGCTGGGTCGCGCACGTGCCGCTGGTCATGATTTGCACCCCCCCCCTCTTGGACACCCCCCTCTTGGCCGCTCCCGAGATATGCACCACCACCACCACCACCACCCTGAACCCACCCCTCCTCCCGGGAACAAGGACGGAGAGGAGGAGAAGGGGAGAGGGGGGAGGGGCAATGGAGGTGGTGGTGGCGTATACTCGGGGGAGGGCCGAGCAGGTCCACCTCCACCGCGGCGTGCCGAGGTCGACGCCCCAGGTGGGGGCTTTATAGCCCCGGACATCCGGCGCTCCGGTTGAGGTCGATGCGTGGGCTCCCTGAGGTCTGGACCACTTCCCCAGACCCCCTGGAGTCATGGAAAAATCACGGCGAGAGGTTTTTCACCAGTTTTGGCCTCTGGGGGCCCCTGACCGGGCCGCGGGGCTGTCAAAAGACGACTCAGGATGAAGATTTGGTCCAAGGGAACGGGTCGAGACCCCTGGGGGTCGACGTCATGAAAAAATCATGACGTCGGGGGTCTGGGTGCCTTGGGACGTTTGATCGTCCCGAGTCGTAATTGGACGTCCCCTTGGGGCCCGTGGACCCCTGGAGGCCGGAAGTCGTCCAACGTTGGCCGCCTCCATCTTTCGGAGCCTCGGGAAGGACGCGCGCCTTCCTCTGAGCTGCCCTTGTGTCCCTGCTTCTGCGGCCCGTCCTTTGCCGTTTTCATGGGTCGCCCGCCGCCCAAATATCCTAACTTCAGCCTCCAATGGGTCTTGCGTCCGTTACCACCCGACCTTACATCGGCGGCGAGCGAGGGGGGGAAGTGAGAAGGAGAAGGCCTTCTCGGAAGGCGGGGGGACTTCTCACAAGCCCTCGCGCCTCCTGAACGGTTTTCTCTGCCTTCGGGTAAGGTTTAGAAAACCTCGAAGGGTCGCCAGGAGACTTCCAAGCCTTCCGAGAAGGTTTTCTCCTTGTCATTCCCCCCCTCGCTCGCCGCCGATCCATTACACCGAGGCAAACAAAACATGTGCTTTTCGGACCTTTGCGAGCAGGCACCTTGGCGAGCCGCGGGACGCGCTGGGTTACCCCCCACTGCCCCATCCGATCGGGGCGGCGCGGAGAAACATCGTTTTGACTGTAAGCCGCCGCCCCTCGCCTCGTCGCCCTTCCTCCCCCGCCCTCTCCTGCACGGTGGCCGAGTTCACCCAGCGTTGCCCCGTTTCGCTTTACTCGCCAGCGCAATCGCTCTGCCTAGCCGCCGACGTAAACATGTAAGCTGCCGCCCCGCGCGGACCAAGATCCGTGGTCGCGCCGACGGAGATGCAGGCGACGGCGACGCAGGCTCCGGCGCTGCAGGTCGGGGTCGTCCGTGGCCAGCCCAGTTGTGGGAACGCGCTGTTCGTGCTGTCCTACAGCTCGCCGTGCCGTTTCCGCTCGGTATCTTCGCGTTTGGGGAAATATCGGAACGTGTGGCTCGTCATTTTGACCTACCTTTGTTCTGCATGAGTTCGGCGCCGCAGAAGCCAGGCCCCCAACGCCGCCGTGAACCCACATCGCCAGCAGCGCGGCCTTGGAAGGTCGTCGTGGAAGAAGGAGAAGAGAGAATTAAGCAACAAGAGCACGAACAGGACGCTCACGCAAGAAACAGCATCTTTGAGAACAAAAAAGACTTCGGAACGGCACCCTATAGTGTTTTCACAGAGACGATACCACGGCCGGCCGGCCCCTCAGGAGGACGACTGGAGCACGCCCGACCACGTGCTGCCCGAGGTGCCGCCGCTGCGGCCCCTGCCGGCCGCGGCGGGCATGCCGGCGGCCTCGGAGGAGGACCGTCGCAGGACGCCGCCGACGCCGAGGCCCAGGGGCGCCCAGGGAACTTGCAGTGGAGGCCCATGCCAAGAAACACCCTGCTCGCCTCCAGGGTGCCCCAGGTTTCTTGGGCCTCGATGGTTTTGCGATGGGCAGCGCGACGCTCTCACACCAAAAAACCGATGGACGTCCTGGGGTCTCAGGGTGTTTGGGTTTCTTGTGGAAGGTTTCCTGGTGACTGGCCCCCACTGCACGGAAATAATAGGCCCAAGGCAGACCGACTGCAGCATATCCTGCTCATTCTGGACTGGATTCGCTGTCGGTGCCGCCGCGGGCTTCGTCCCCTTGAGACAGGAGGCCGCCTGCCCAGCAGCGGCCTCCTGTCGGTTGTGGACCACATGTGCTGTTGGGCATCGTGCCCGTTTCTTGCGTACCCGTTTCCGGCGCCAAAGGGCTCGCCGTCGCTCGGACGTGTGCGTGTGTGTGTGTGCGTGTGTGTGTGTGTGTGTGTGTGTGCGTGTGTGTGTGTGTGTGTGTGTGCGTGCGTGCGTGCGTGCGTGCGGGCGGGCGTGCGTGCGTGCGTGCGTGCGTGCGTGCGTGCGTGCGTGCGTGCGTGCGTGCGTGCGTGCGCGGGCGGGCGGGCGGGCGGGCGGGCGGGCGGGCGGGCGGGCGGGCGGCGGGCGGGCTGTGCGTGCGTGCTTGCGTGCGGGCGGGCGGACGGGCGGGCGGACGGGCGGGCGGGCGGGCGTGCGGGCGGGCGGGCGTGCGTGCGTGCGTGCGTGCGTGCGTGCGTGCGTGCGCGGGTGTGTGTGTGTGTGTGTGTTTGTGTTTGTGTGTGCGCGCGTGCGTGTGCGTGTGCGTGTGCGTGTGCCTTTGCGTGTGCGTGTGTGTGTGCGTGTGTGTGTGTATTCCTCGGTGAGGGCCATCGAGGAGTCTCCTAGACCATCTTGCGATTAATGCACGCACGAAGCCCAAACATGCACGGGGAGCGGACGTCCGAGCGAATGGCGCCCAAATGACTACACGTACGAGCGATTATTCGCCGGAGTGACCTTTGGTGCGGGCCCATTGGCCCCCCCCATCGCCGAGTGCGGTGCGACAGCAGCGTATTGTGCGCTTGTGTTTGCCCCCCCCCCCCTGCGGCCCTCAAAATCCCGCGCGCCACATGTCATTCTTGCCTAGGGTCACTCTTGCGTGTAACCGACTCAAGCAGGGAGAAACAAGTTTCGACGTTCGAGGTCTCAGGTTTTCGGATGTTTCGTATGTCCTCGGCGGCTGTCCAGCCTCGGGATGCCTTCCAGCGGCGGCTCCTCGTCGAGAGCGTTCCGGGGGTGCCCGCATCGCCCTGAACGGCCGCCGGAGGCCCGAGTTGTGACCCGGAAAGCTTCAGGGCCCTCAGTTCCGGATTTCCGGATCTCGATCCCGCAGGAACATGGCATGAGACATCGGGCTGCCAGCAGGTCCCCCGCGGACACGTCTCATCCCCCGACGGCCCTGGGGACTGGCGTGAGCTCCGAGGTTCTCGGGGATCGTGGGCTCTCCCTCTCGGGGTCGTTGACTTTCAGGAGCGTGCCTCAAGACGCCTTGCATGGCAAGACTCCTTCCTGCGGCCGAGCTCCCACCCTGCCAAGTTGACTAGCGAATGGCCTCTTTTCTCGGTCCTCGTGAGGGCGCCGAGGCCGCGTCTTCTTGGCGGGCATGCGCCCGCCGTGGGCCTGGTCCCGGGTCGCTTGTTCGTCACGCGGGCGTTCTGCGACAGCGGGCCACGTCCGCCCACGGTTTGGGGGGGGACATGCCACGGCATGATGACACCTTGCTCGATTTCCTGTGCCCCTCCTCTTCACGTGCCTCTGGCCATGGGCCCCCCTCGTCCTCCCGGTCCCCCTCCTTCTGGAGGAGGAGGAGGAGGAGGCGTAGACCTCTCGGGAGCCTCTTGGTGTACTCTTGGAGTCTCCAGGGAGCTTCCTTGGAGCTCTTCAGCGTACCGCGCCGAGGCCCTCCATCGACAGCGATGCCAGCTCCGGGTCGTCCGTGGACTCGCGGCCGTCCCTGGAGTCGGGCGGGCAGATCTACTTCGGGCGGCTGCGGAGCGACGGCGGCGGCTCGGGGGACCTCTCGCCGAGGCCCCGCGAGCGGGGAGCCCGTAAGCGCGGCGCGCTCCGGAAAAGGGCACCGCCTCCAGCGCATCTCGCCCTCGTCGGAGGCGGCAAAGAGGGGGGTGCTGAGGGGCATGACGAGGACTGGGAGTAGTCGGAGGGGCATGAGGAGGGTGGAGCCAAAGCGAAGGGATATTGGGAGGAGGCGGGTATGGGGCATGAGGGCGAGGCGGGCGACATCCCACGCTTAGCTGATCAGTGTTCTGCGTGTCCGTGCCCCCCCCCCAGAACACGGTGATCGGTTGCAGGACTTCATGACCAGGCCAATGGCTCGAGCCCACGACGCTCCTTGGCGTCGCGTTGATGCCACCCCGCTTTGCCAGACCGCGGTTGCACAGATGGGCAGAATCTGTTTGAACGTTTTTTGCTTGACCCTCCCTGTAGTAACAGACCCACGTTGGAATCCAAGTGATGACTAGGGGGGGACTGGCGGGGGCCATGCTATCTCCCCAGAGTTCATGGCGCCTCTTCTTATTTCAACACGTTCCCAGCCCCCCTTTGGGCCGCGCACGTGCCGCCAGCCATGATTTGTGCCCCCCCCATCCCCTTGGACGCTCCCCTGTTGGCCGATCCCTGGAAGGGGGGCTTGTGTAAAGTCGGGAATTGTTGGGCAGCGTGTCGATCCGTCGGTTCTGGCCCACGACGCTTCGGCGCGACACGCTACATCCATGTCGGGGTCCCACAAGCGTCAGCGTCCCGATCTTCTCCCGAGCTTCCCGCCCCGCGGGGCGGAACGGCATGCTGTTCGCTTGCAGGGCATAGCGTGTCGCCTGGGCCGCCGCGGCGATGCGCTGAGCAAACGCCCTTGACCGAAAGTGGAGCGGTTGCGGGCTCGCCAGCGGAAGGCCGGCGGAGTGAGGCGGAAGTGAAGGCGAGGCGTCGGCATCATTCCGGCTGCACCCTAACATAGTGCGTCGCCCCCCCATGGGCGACGGACGAACCGAAATGTTGTTTTAGTGCGTGCGTCGTGGCGGGCGTTTTCTGGCCGTGCCGGTCGGGAGACGATCCTGTGGGAGCGTTCGTCAAGGAACGTGCCCAAAAGTCTTCAGACCCTGGAGGGTTCCTTATGTGATGAGGGCGGAGGTGGTATCCAGGGCCAATCCACGATTGGCTTTCCAATGATTTCCAGACCCCTGATTTTTTGATCGAAGGCTTCCTTCGCCAATGCCATCACCGTATATTACGCCCAACGATATATTGCAGCATGGTTGCACCATGTATTCGGGCAGGACGCATTCCTCCGAGGAGGACACAAAGTGCTAGTAATGGAAGATGACGATGAATAAATGACCGGGGGTCGTGTTCACGCGGCGACGCTTGGGATGACGATTCGAAGAAAAAAAAAAAAAAAAAAAAAAAAAAAAAAAAAAAAAAAAAAAAAAAAAAAAAAAAAAAAAAAAAAAAAAAAAAAAAAAAAAAAAACGGCCGCGGGCAGGACAACTACTTTTTCAATCGTTCCCCTCCAGTCAGAAAACTGTGCAGCAACAGCATATACCTTGTGTTGTTGAACCGTTCTCTCTTATTTTTCTATTCGTCGCCATCCCGGCCGGCCGTGCCCACAGCCGTGCGGTCTGGACTGCTCGGCGGCCGACCTCCGTGGACGCAGGGCGGCCCTGCGCGGCTGCCCCGCGCGGAGCGCATCCGCGGGATCGCGTATCTTCAGTAGGGAAAAACACACACACACACACACACACACACACACACACACACACACACACACACACACACACACACACACACACACACACACACACACACACACACACACACACACACAACACACACACACACCACACACACACAGACACACACACACAGACACAATTAATCGTCGACGCCAGGAACATATGCAAACATATGGGAAGTGGGGGGGAAGACGACAATCGAAACAAATATGGAAAAAGCTGGGGAATCCTGTTATTTGTGTGTGTATTTACTTGTGTGTCCCAGGGCCCGTTGATATCTGTTCGAAGCAGAAGTCACGATGGTCCAACCTGCTTCAGCCTTGTTCACCATAAAAGGCTTTCGAGCACCAGGAAAGTACCGACACCTGGTGGTTTTCGTGTGTCGGGCCCTGGGAGGCGATACTCATTCGGCACTGCTTCGATACCTCTTTTAGGTGCTCGAGATGATTCCGGGGATGTCGTCGACATAAAACAGACAAAGGCAAAGCATAATTTGTTGGGAGGTCCTCGCGGAATTATTGGATCGGCGCTGGGCCACACTCCCGGGCGCGCGGAGCACGCCATGGGCGGCGCCGGGTGCGCCGCCAGGAGGGCTCAGGGCCGGTACGAGAATTCCGCGCGGCCCCATGCAAATTGGTGTTCATGCATTTTTGACCGTCCTTCGTTCCGAGCTTATCCTCGGTATCGTTTAACCGATCCCCATCCCCATGCCCATCCTCTTCGAGACCCCCACCAGGTTACCACCCCAGTTGGGGACACACCCCTCGAAACCCGAAGGGAACGACCTATATCCCCATCTTGGGGGGTAGATCGGCCAGTGGGGCTCAGGCCACGCCGCTGGGGATGGGGATCGGTTCAGCGATATCGATATCCGCCAGATCGCTTACCCGTGGGGTCGCGCCCTGGAATCCAGACCGCGGGGGCACGGATGCGGATGCATGCGGTGCCATTTGGGTGCGCCACCAACTATGAAACGAGCCCCCAAGAAATCACCTCCAAATATTTCCAAAGTCGTTCGCGTTCCTCGAGCCTCGATTTCCTTCAGGAGCAGGCTGTAACCTCCCTATCCTCCCTCCTCGGTCCTCCAGATGTTCCAGAGACTCTCCGATCATTGCTCTTCCTCGATCCCCGATCTTCAGGAGGAGGCGGTGACTTTGGTGAATCCCTTTGGCACCGCCCAGTGGATGTGTCCGTCGCTCGTTGCAGATCGTGGGCGTGAAACATATCCGTAACCGCGGCCTCGCGGGCCTGGCCCCTTGGCCGCAACCCCTTGGACACTGGGCCTTGTTTCGCGGATGACCCGCGCGGAACGTATCCGTGCGACTGCGTTATCACGAGATCGCGCCCTGGAGTCCAAACCGCGAGGGCGTGGATATTGATACGTTCGCGGCTCGTGAGCTCGAGGCCACCCTCGGCGCGGGCGCAGCGCATGCACCCCCTGGGCGGGTGGGTGTCGGGCCTCGACCTGGAGAAGCTGGGCCCGAACCTGCTGCAGAGCACCGGGCGGCTCGGCGCGGGCGCCAGGGGTGGCTACGGCCTCCAGACGATGCCTGTGGGAACCAGGGGGGCATTACAATTGGTTGTCCCACGACTCACACCGATAAGTCTCTCAATGCAAACGGTGAGTACAGTGGAGAAGCATGCCAAAAGATACCCTCCTTGCCTCCAGGGTGCCCTGGGTCTCTTGAGTTTCGATGCTTCTTCTATGGAAAAAGGGACGTTCCCTCACCAAAAATCAATGGACGTCCTGGGGTCTCAGGGTTAGGTTTCTTGTGGAAGGTTTCTTGTGGTCGGGCCCCTACTGTACTCAACTCATTGTTCTGTTCATGAGTGGCCTGGCACCTTGGCTCAGACGATTGTTCTTCCAGCCAGCATACCGGGAGCCACAGACCCCCTGCTCACCGCTTGTCTGTTGTGCCCACCCTCGCCTCAGACCACCCGAGGCACAGCGTGGCACCGCGCCGCGCCGCCGCTGGTCGAGCGGGGAGATTCTGACGACTTCGACGCAAAGGTCGCGACCATCAAGGCCCTGTTCCAGCAGCAGGCCGTGGGCGGGAGATGACGTATCCGTATCCACGACAGCGGGCCGGCTCCCTTGGCCGCGACCTCAGGGATACGTGTTTTTACCGCAAAAGCCCCGCTCGGAACGTTTCCCAGTTTGGATCACCGCTGGGGTTGCTGAGGGAATAGGGGGGCACAGCAAGATGCGAAGGTTGGTTCATGTCTGGCTGATCCTGGACCATAAGTGGGCTCAAGTGCCCGAAGTGGTTTAGGGGCTTGACGATCCGGGCCAAGTGGGCAGAGCCCGCTTAGCGGAGTCGCCACACCGCCCTAAACCTCTTTGGGTATTTGTAGCCTACTCACAGGCCAGGTCCAGCCAGACGTAACCACCTTGGCATCAATTTGGAACTCCCCATTCCCTTTGCCCCCCCCCCGCGGTTATCCGAGTACACCCGCGTATCCACGGGATCGCGTCATGAAGTCCTGACCGCGAGGGCGTGAACCTGGATATGGGTATGCTCGCCGCCCGTGCGCAGGAGCAGCGCCAGAGGGAGGCCCTGCGTCAGCAGGCGAGGCTCGTGGAAGAGCAGGTGTCGTCGCGCCCCAGCATCGAGTGGGTGGGCTCGGGGCCCGACGGACGCTCGACGGTGCCCGAGGAGTCCTCCGAGGAGCTCGACGCCGTCTCCGCGGCCCAGAGGTGGGAGAGCGAGCGGGAGAAGCGGGAAGTGGTCGCAGCCTTCTTGAAGCAGCACGGCTTTTCCGGGCCGAATGCCAGGACTGGAGGACTCAACCCACATGCACGGCACCGACCCGAGCCAGGCCTGCACTGGGCTGGCCAGGCATGTCAGGCGACTTCTCTCCCCCAGTCCCCAGGTTCCACCGCAAAAGACCAGTGGCCCAGAACAGGATGGGAACTTTGGGATACACCCTCAGGGGGGCTAGTCGGACACACAACTGTCGAGGATGGACGCTTCCCCATCGTTGGCCCAAATGACAGCGGTCAGTCCAGAGGAACCTAAGCCAACGAGATATAATTCAAGGACGGGATCATCAGCCCCTCGCCAAAGAAATACAAAATGAAGCCGACTAAGTTCGGAAGCGCCACGAAGTCGGGGATTGGGGTGGCCATACCCCCACATCTTGGTCTCAGGATGGGCCTGGCGAGTATCGCTGCGGGCGAGCACCCCTGACAATTGGATGCCCCATGCAATGTCGGGCCGATCGGAGCGGGTACGGAAAGAATGGGCACAAGGACCGCCAGCAAGTCCTGTTCATCTTGAACAGGGCCTGCTGTCGGTGTCGCCACGGACGTTGTCCGTTTGAGACAGCAGGCCGCCTGCCCAACAGCGGCCGCTGTCGGAATTGGACAGCACTCGATGTTGAGCATCGTACCCGTTTTGTTCCGTACCCGTTCCGGGCGTCCAAATGAGGGGCGTTCCAGGAGCGAGCTTCGCCTCCAGCGCGTTGTCTCGTCCCTGGCGGAAGCCGACGGAAGGCCCGCGGAAGCCTGGGATAGGACAGTGGCAGCGGGTCCGCCGAAGGAAGCTGGCGGACGGTGGGCGGAAGGCGGTGGATGTACAAGCGCGACTTGAACAACAACAACAACAACAACAACAACAACAACAACAACAACAACAACAACAACAACAACAACAATTGCATGACCCACCTCCCGAGAGCCCAGAGCGCGCCAGAGGCGGCGCAGGAGGCGCCGTCAGAGGGTGTCACCGCCGATCCAGGACATCCCCGTGGAGCTCCGAGAGTTCATTTTTATTCCGTCGTCTGTTTCTCTGGAGACGTGGGCATTTTCGAGAGATCATTTTTGTTATCCTCGGACGTTACCCTGGGTCCCCCCACGGTATTGGCAGCGATCGCGCGTCGGGGGGGCCTGGCCCCCCCAAACCCACATGTTGGTGCCCGCGCGCCTACTATTGCGATCGCAGCGCTCCCCGCCCTGACTGGCCCCACCCCGCCCAAGCGTCACCGTTACCACGCCCCTCCCCCTCAGCACCCAGGGCCCCCATCCCACGGGGTAACGACCGTCACCGGAAATACTTACAACAATCTCTGGGTTCAGAACTTACTGGTCTCTCCACCTTCCGCATCCACTTCCTCCGCGCCAGATCTGCCCCTTCTTCCTCCAGGCATTTTCGGAGGTCCGCCAGGAGTTTTTTGTTGATCGACGCTGTACCACCTTCCCTTGGCGCACGAAGAGCGCCAGGGGAGGCGCTGGCGGCGCCGCCACTGGCGAATTGGAGGAGGAGGAGGAGGAGGAGGAGGAGGAGGAGGAGGAGGAGGAGGAGGAGGAGGAGGAGGGGGGATCGACCCCCGGGCTCCTCGCGCTCCCTGGCCCCACATCCTCGAAGGGAGCCCAGCTTGTGGCCACGAGGGGACTGCCGGAGGTCCAGACGGGGGGGGGAGCACGTTGCCGGCAGCCTCGATGCCAGGCAGCCCTCCGACGAGGCAGGTTTTTCCAGGCGCGGCCCTTCCCTTGATCGAAGAAAAATCACAAGACAGCTCGCCGCTTTGGCCCCACCGCCATCCCAAACGGCGAGCATAAGTCGGGCGCAGCCCCGCACGCATTCGGATGCCCACACTTCGTCCTCGCACTACTCGTATTCATCCCCGTCCTCCTCTCCATCCTGATCGTCGTCGTCGTCCTCCTCCTCGCCCTCCTCATCCTTCTCGCCTTCCTCGTCTTCCTCCTGCTCCAGCTTCTCCTCGTCGTCCTCGTCTAGGGCATCGCCCTCATTTCTCCTCTCCCTCCTGCTCATCCTCCTTCTCCTGGCACCTCAGTCCTCGACGCCCTCGGCAGCCCGCTTGCGGCTTTCTCTGTGGCCGGCGCCAGAGGCCATAGGTTGCGCCACAGGTTGCGCCCTCGGCGGCTGAAAATAACAGCAACTCCGTCTGTTGCGCCAGAAGTTGCGCCCTCGGTGGTTGAACCTAAAAGCATTTCCTATCGATTCCGCCACAGGTTGCGCCCTCGGCGGCCGAGAATAACACCGCCTCCTGCCGGTTGCGCTATAGCTTGCGCCTTCGGAGGCCAAACATAAAATTGTCTCCTATCGGTTGCGCCATAGGTTGCGATCTCGGCGGCCGAGAATTATACCATCTCGTATCGGTTGCGCCATAGGTTGCGCCCTCGGCGGCCGAGAATAAAACCATCTCGTATCGGTTGCGCCGTAGGTTGCGCCCTCGGAGGCCAAGAATAAAGCCGTCTCCGTTCGGTTGCGCCATAGGTTGTGCCCTCGTGCGGGGAATGAAACCATCTCGTACCGGTTGCGCCATACGTTGCGCCCTCAGCTGCTGAGAATAAAACCGAATCCTATCGGTTGCGCCATAGGTTCCGCCCTCGGCGGCCGAGAATATAACCGACTCTTGTCGGTTTTGCCGTAGCTTGCGCCTCCTGCCGCCAAGAATTAAACCGACTCTTGTCGGTGGCACCATCTCCGATCGGTTGCGCCATAAGTTGCGCCCTCGGTGGCTGAGAAACAGAAGCCGTCTTCTATCGGTTGCCCCATAGGCTGCGCCCTCGGCGGCCAACCCCTGTCGGTTGCGTCATAGTTTGCGCCGTCGGCGGACAAGAATACAACCGTCTCCGATAGGTTTCGCCATAGGTTGCTCCCTCGGCGGCCCAGAATATAATCATCTTCCACTGGTTGCGTCCTAGCTTGCGCCTTTGACGGCCGAGAATAAAACCGTCTCTTTCTGGTTGTGCCATAGGTTGCGCCCTCGGCGGCCGAGAATAAAACCGACTCTTGTCGGTTGCGACATCGGTGGCGACCTCGGCGGCCGAGAATAAAACCGACTCTTGTCGGTTGCGCCATAGGTTGCGCTCTCGGCGGCAGGGAAAAAAGCCGTCTCCGTTCGGTTGCGCCATAGGTTGCGCCTTTGGCGGCCGAGAATCAAATAGTCGAGTAACGGGTGCGACGAGTCAGTTGAGTTGAGTTGAGTTCAGTTCATGTCAGTTCAGTTTACCTAGCACAAAGCAATTTCGGGTTACGCCCGACAACACCATACAGTGGAGACCCATGCCAAGAAACACCCTGCTTGAGTCCAGGGTGCCCTTGGTTTCTTGGGTTTCGATGGGCTTGCAATGGAAAGCGTGACTTTCCCACATAAGAAATTTGTGGATGTCCTGGGGTCTCAGGGTTGGATTTCTTGTGGAAGGTTTCTGGTGGACTGGCCTCCATTCTACACATCATAAACTATTGGCGTTCCGTGCGGATTTCTCGGATCCGCGCTGGGCCCCCCGAGCGGCGCCTCCAGTGCCACCCCTGGCGCGCTCAGGGCGCCAGGGAGGGGGGCCCAGCGCGGATGTAAGAAATCCGCGCGGAGCGCCAACAGTTTATGTTTACGGCGGATGTTCTTCATCCACTGGAGGCAAATGTTCATCCTGGATCTTGGCTTTGTGGCCCCAGGGTCCCGATGACGGGTCCCCAGGGTCCGACATCGGGAACAACGTTCGTGATTGCAACGCACATCTCACTGTCGGAGATTGGGGATCTTGGGGCAGCTTGCGTTTGCCCCTGCCCCCACGAAGAATGGTTGCTTCAGGACGGGAGGGAACCTTTTGAAGTACACGGGCTATGCGATCGCATCCCCATTGAGGACGGACGCCCCTTTCCGTACATCTCCGAGTTGCGCCCCAGGATTCAGTGCGATGCTGACTCGATGCTGCGCCTTGAAGTTTCCAAGCGGCCCCCAGGAGTCCTCGCTGTTGTCCCGCGGCCAGCGGCCCGTCCCAATCGGTTTGGCTGTCCCTGGGCCCGGCGAGGGTCCCCCGAAGGCTGAGACTATCCGACAAATATTCTAGACGCTAAGCACAATCTCACAAACCCATCCAGAAACAATGCCCAGAAGAGTTGCCTCCATCAGGGAAGTGGGCAGCACGCAGAGGAAGGGTCCCCCGGTGGAGGCCTCTTGGAGCGTCTTGGAAGCCTCTTGGCGGTCCCGGAGGCCTCCTGGGGCGTCTTGGGTGCCTCAGGGAGCATCTTGGGGGCCTCTTGGGGTCCCTTCGGAGCTTCTTGGAGGCCTTTTGGGCGCCTCTTGGGGCCTCCTGGGGCCTCCTGTGCGCGTCTTGGAGCGCTCTTGAAGCTCTCTCGGGAGCCTTGGGAGCGCTCTTGGGGCCATCTTGGAGGACATCGGTCAAACAAGAGAAGAGCTTTAATCACCGGCGCCCCCCCAAGAGGCCCAAATGAAGCCAAAACCTTAGTACAGCGAAAGATGATTGGCTTCCTCGCAGAGGCCGTTTTGGACGCCCTGACACCTCGCGACCGGCCCCGTGTAGGTCCGAGTGAGGAGGTAGGAGGAGGGTTAAGCCCCTCCCCTAAGGAGAAGAGGGGCAAATGGAAAACAAGACACCCTAGACCACCTACGCCCTAAAGGGCTGGTGGGATTGGTAAGGTTGTTTGTAATACGTTGGGGGTCTGAGTTCCTGGTTGTTTCCTGGTTTCTTCGACCTCTTCGGCGTATGAGCATCCCTTCTTCCTCTCGGCCGTCCCCCTTCTCCCTCTTTGCTCGCCAGCCACTTCGCTAGTTAGTTAGTGCCCGTATCTAGCTTCTCGCTGGAGCGAAGTTCGCCGCGTCGCCGCTGAGGAAAAAATGTTCTTGGACTCTTCATACGGCTCAGAACGATCTGGGTGCCCCAGCTCCCCCTTCGGGGAGGCGCAGCAGGTGGCAAGAGCGCTTCGAGGCTGGACAGCCTCGGGGAATTTGCGACAGCGCCCGCAGACCTTCGAATCCGGGCCCTGGCGCAGCGACGGGAGAAAAAAA